CCTGCAAAGCAGTGTGTATCAAAGACATGATAATTCGGCTTTTGACTCACTCAGTTACTATCACACAGTTGGATCTCTATCTCCAATGCACAAACGATTCATTCAGTCTCACTCTATTCATTCCCCTTGACAATCATTTCTCTATTCCCCTCACTCTTACATTCTCCCATTCTCCCACACTCTTGCACCCAGTCGCCCCAATCCAATCCCCCCCCAGTCAACCACAACACAGTGACCTCGCCCCAGCTGTTTCTCATTGGCGTGTTCGAGATGCGAATGAGACAACCAGACCATTTGATTGGATTATGCAGGGAAATCCCAGAGAAACTCCTCCCATCCTTTATGTTCATAGAAAAACATGAGTATCTAATTTCCACAGTCTTGCCTGCACGTTGCATCAGACAAAATCAGGGTTAAATAGACATTTCCGCTGTGCTGGAGCATTTCTGACTTGGCAGACAGCTTACTAGAGAGACAAACCAGAGCAGACAAAGTTTTAGACAGCCTGGACACAACAGTTTGAATTATTTGCAGATCTTCAAGAGTGCAAGTTGATTTTAAAATTGTTGTTAGAGCGGGCAGAGGTGCAGCTTTTGATGCATCTTTTACTTTTTTGATCTTTTTTTTTGTTTTTGTTTTTTTTTCTACTTTTTTGTGCAAATTTTAGAATATGTTCAATAGCTTCTGCTCTGAACACAATATCACAACAATCAGCTTTGAGTTGGATCAGGAAAAGCTTAGTCACTTCAGATTCCACCGGCCCAAAACACACTTAATAAGCAGTCGAGCAAGAGAAAGGAAAAATGCTACTTAAAAGGAAGAGGTGAGCCTGATGCTGCAAGAACAGTATCTGTTTTAGTCTGTTTTTGCTTTTGTCTCTTTTTCATTGTAACATCACTGACCCCTGTCTCTTTTCTTTCAGACTTACAATTGTCCCTGATGAGGAAAAATGGTGAGTTAAGTTTTTTTAATTTTTTTATAATGTTTAAAATCTTTGCATGATTGTTCTTTTTGAGTGGGTATTTGTGCACATGGAGCATTTGATTTGCATTCTTCTTCCAACCCTGGGTGTGGTCAAACCACAAGATTTTTGCATAATGACTCAAGTGCACTAAACACTCATTAAACATTTCTTTTAGCTGAGTTTTCTTTAGAAACAGTTCTTCCTAGTATATCTTTCTTCTTTAGTAGTAGAACGTAGTAGTAGTAAATTGACTGAGATGCATTCTTAAACATTCTACTTCTTGATTAATGTGTTGCACATACAGTAAATTATTAAATGTCATGCATGCAAGTTTTTTTATGCTTCTGAGTTCCTGTCCTTTGTGATTAAAGTTCTTTATATTGTATTCAATGTACTGAGACAGCATGCTCTGTAAAACTGTGCTGACTGGTGATGCGTGTACTTTTGTTGTGTGCACATCCCCAGAGGACTCCTCCCTCCTTATTCCCCTTAGCTCCTCCTCCTGTGTCATATTTCTTCTCTCCTCCCCAATTCTTTTCAATACCTTCTTCTCCCCTTCTGGTCATTTTCACCTCCCTTTTCCCTCCTCTCTACATCTGCGCATCCTCACACTCTTACCTCATTTGATCATCAGTGACACCAGAGATTATGCAAACACACAAACACACAGTGCAGCATCGCTGTATTGTACTGCATTTATATGCTCAAGCATTGCAATAAATCAAGTTAAATAAATAAAGTTTAAATTACTTAAATAAAAACAAATTCTGCAAAACAGAAAGTTACCAAATTAGTATTCACAAAAATCTGTATTGCATATTATTAATTAATACCTTTCTCTAATTTGTCCCGTAGCCAATCCATCTTTTCAGCAGTGGCCTTCTACATGAAGCACCTTGGGGTTAAAACCAGGGCAGTTGACAGCAAGAAGTCCAGAGGAGGCTTCTTCAGGAGTAAACTGGTAAAGGTATGGTACCATCACCTACCTATAAGGATAACATTTGTGTTTTTTTAGCCCATACATTCGACTTCTTTTTAATTAGAACTTCTTTCTTACTCCCTACACGTGTTATCTTCCCAGAATAAGAAGGATGAATCCACAAAGGCCAAGCCCAGAGGGGTGTTTCCTGGCATCCCCAGCTGGATTGCAGGCAACAACAGTATGTATCTGCTTTTGAGCTCGATTAATCTGTTATTTTTTTTGCATTTAGTATCTCATTGTTGACCTTTTCTCAATAATATTGTAAAATAATTACAATTTCTTAAGTTACATATTATATGAATATAAAATATAGAGTATCTTAAAATATTGATGTCCGTGAATCATCTGGATATGAGAACATTTTGTCCTGCCCTTCTTTCCTGTTACAGCTGAGGTCAAACCTAAACCGGAGGCTGAAGGTACTAGTCGTCTAGAGTTACCACCCTCTTTTTATCTGTAGAATGGTCACATCCCTTACTAATCAACCCATAAGCATGTCTGCATGTCCCAAATCAAACTGTGAGGGGATGTGGGTGAGCATCGTTTAGTTGATTCTGTATTTTAGGGTGTTTGAAGAATTAGTGGTACTGTATTTCTTTAATCACCAGAAAACCTCACACACTGCACACTTATCGCATCTGGATGTTCTCTTGTACCACACTAACCCTTTCATTCACTACAGAGGCCCTGATTACACCCTCATCCTGTCTGTTTGTCTGTCTCATGAAGTCTCTGTCCCTTTTTTTTAAAATTAAGTTCTTTTGGGGCATGTTCTTCAGCGCCTGCCTAATCTATAGTTGTGCGTTGTCAAACTTGTCGCGCTCTTCCCCCTCTTCAGCGGAAAAGGAGAAAGTGAATCCGGAGCGCAAGGGTCTAACTCCTGGCAGAGGCTCCCTAACTGACGCTCCAGCCCTGTCCCTCCCCAGCAAGAAGTCTGGTTCCAGTGGGAGTCCCGCTTCTCTGCCTGGGTTAGAGAACAATGACAGCTCAGGAAACAACAACAGCATTGTCAACAGCCCAGAGTCTTCACACATTGATGGTAAGCCTGCTCATTGACTAGACTGTGTTCTATGGAGTCTGGAGTATGAAACTATTGTGATGATAGATGATAAATCCATGAATAAAACAAGACTAAAGCCATGCTAACGACTTTGTGAGGCTCTACTCGCATGCTCACAATGACAGTGCTAACATGTTAGCTTGTTAGCAGCCAGTCAGATTTATTCACTGGAGACCTTGAATGTTTCAGGCTGGACCAAAGTGGTTGGTCTCTGGAGGCACTCCTCGAGAGAGGCTGTAAATACAAATTAATAGACAGAGGCAACAGGAACTCTGATTCGCCAATTTTTGTATTTAGCAGGGGTTTCTGCTACTTCTCTGTGAGTTAATTTACTTCTTATCACGTGTTAGAATTAATGAGACTAGTCTTTCAATTGAAACAAAACGCAAATTAACAAAATAAATGCAATAAATTAAATGCAAACTGAAAACGTTAAAGTAAGACAACCGTGTTGTGATGGGATCAATTGGCAGAGATGAAATATACTATTCACAGGTATATTTTCATTAGTGTATAATCACAAATTATACACTAATTGTTTTTGTTACCTTAGAATGAGATGTTTTTTTATCTACAGAGGGAGCAGGTGCTCTTGTACAGAGTCCGTCATGTTGGACCGCTCTGTATCTACAGTAGCCCAAAACGGACAAACCAATCACTGGCTCTAGTTACGGCCTTTCTCTTTGATTCAGTCTTGCAGCCACCAAAGTTTCTCACTACTCGCTTGTGGCGTTTCAGTTGGTTGCATTCTGCAATCTAGATGCCACAAAATCCTACACACAGGTCCTTTAAAGTAAAACAAAAAGCAGTTTTTCTGATTCCAGATATACATTTGGTAATTTCCTGAATAAAAGCACCAACTAATTCTCCTTCAACAGAAAAAAATGCAAATATAACCCCTCATTTGTACTCTTGCCCCCTTTTTTTCTAATCTTCTAGGCCTCTCAAGCAATCTCTTAGAGCCTCCGACCCAGTCAGACGGTGGTGATGTGTCCCCTGTTGGGCTTGCAGGAGGGCTGACCCCCGGGGAGCCCCTCTCACCCAGCCACCCAGACACTCCCATAGAGGAAAATACAGAGAAAGAGAGGTGAGGCATATGGAGATGGTAACAAAAGCGGTAGTGAGATTATAACTGCAGTGTAGAGTTTCAATAAGAGGGTATAAGAAAGGATAGGATGTAATCAGATTATAATTAGCCTGTATGGGAGGTGTTCAGTGTAAAGACTGTATTGATCCAACGAGCAGGGGAAAGGGGGAAGTGAAACGTGTCTGAACTGCTCCGGCTGAGGGAGCTTGGTAAAACTCCCCCAGCAGTCTGTCCCTGCCGTGTGCAAGCTTTTTGTCATGCTGCCTGTTGCTCGCTAGCTAACAGAGCCTGCAGGTTTGAGAAGGACCCTCACCAGGTGAACTCCGACCCAGTCTTCCCTTCCAGCCCTTTGCCTTCCCTCTCTCTCATGATCTTTCTCCTTTTTTCTTCTCACAATGGCACGTAATGCTTTCTTCCTAATATCATTCTGTCCCACTTGTGTTCTTCTCTGTGTGTCCTGTTGTGCATCTCCTAATGTTTACAACAGAGCTTCATTGCAGTTCATGTTGCATATAGGCATTGTTTGCGCAGTTCTGACTACCTTGTGTTCTTTATTGGACAGGGCAATACAAAGGTGATAGACTGAGACATTTGTAATTGTTATGGTTATATAGCAATGATTAATGATGAGCCTTTCTATGTTGCGGACATTTTAGCTAACATATAGACGTGGTGATATGATTATAAGATAGTAAGATTATCAACTTTGTCTACAGCTACAGTTCTAGACAAAGTAGCTTCACACTGTGCTGCTACTTTAGTTAGTAGTAAAAACTGAACCAATAGGTTTAACATTTTTTGTTGCTCGCCCCGTGTGCTTTTCAAGGTGTCTGTGTGGCCAGGGCCCGTCCTCTGTCCTGCTTGTCTCAACAGTGTGTGCGGTTACATGTTGTGCCAAGGGCTTTTGGCGTCGTATTTGGCATGCTCTACTCTGACAGCGGCTAAAACCTGTTTAGTATATCATGTTGGGGTTTGTATTTGCATGTTATGGTTGTTACTGTGGCTTGCAATAGTTGTATGAAGGCGGGCGTGTAATGATGTGGTGTCCCGTGTTTTTACAGACGGAAGACAAGGTGGGTGTCAGCGCCTTGACAGAGTCATGGACATGCTTCAGGCCTTATACTGATCACACAACACACATGTACAAACACTTACATGCATACACACCCCTCATTGAGCACATTGAACACACTACACGGCTAAGTATCATGTACCTGCTTGTGAAGGAGGTAGAGTAAACTTGACTGTTGAGATAAGTTGGATTATTTTTAGTGGATGTGAATGCACGTTGTGTGGATTTAGAGAACCTTTGACATAAATGACCATTAAAGTTGCATAACTGAGAACTCTTGGTACAGAAATTATGTAGAAGAATGCATGGCTACTGTCTTAACATACTGTTGTACATTGGCTCCCAGTAACTCATAAGGAAATGTCCAATGTGTTGGCATTCAAGTACTACCATGTCTACAATATATGAAGCACACTCTTTACGTTTCATTGTCTAACAATATGCATGTCATGTGTCATGCATAATCACTTTGCACACTCACTAATTTTCTCTCTTTCTGTATCTTTTGTCGATGTGATTTCCTTTTTCTTTTTGAACTCCCTTTCTTGTCTAAATCCTCTGTTCCTGTACCTTAAATCATTTATCTTCCTCTTTACCCTCATAATAAACACAAATGTCTGTGCATACTGACTGCACATGACTGTGATACTTTCTCTTCAACTGACCTTCCCTTAAAAAATATTTTCTGTTGTTTTCCCTGCCTTTTGGTATCTCTTCTACCCATTCTCTGGCATCTTTGTTTCTCCTTCCTTCTTGTTTTCTCCTTGTCTTCCCTGTGGCCTCTCTTTCCTATCCATCTGTCCATTCTTGCATTTGTTCCTTCTTTTTCTGTCCCTGTCTTTTCTCATCTCTCCCCCATCCTCTCCCACCTTCCCTCCCTACAGTAGGAAAGTGATGCGTAGTGAGAGTGCCCGTGTGGACCGGCACTCCTCTCGCCGCCGTGGCTCTTCCCGGGTCAAACAATCTCGCTCCCGTAGTGATGTGGACCTCCAGCCGCCATCTACCACACCAACAACACCTACCACGTTCACCCCCCAGCACCTCCATCCGTAAGATGGACAAACCCCCTCTTAATGCCTCTCTGATTGGACAAGTGCACAGCAGGGACAGGCTGTCAAACACTGACAGATAAAACAGGATGAGTGCAGCAGTTCTGAAATAATCTGAAAGTGATTAGTAGTAATGAGAATACTGATGGATCAAACCCACCTGGCTCACTCAGGACTACTAGATAGATCCCTTTGAAAGGATATTTAAATGAATCTTTGTGTAAACAAATCCAATGATTTTTAAAGGGTACATTTCCATTGTCTGCTGTAGACACAAACTAAATGAATCAATCAAGTAAACTGACAGGTTTACTGGCTCATTATTGATGGATCTGTCTCTAATCGTTGACCTGTGCTGTGACCGACAGGGAGTGAGTAACTGTTAAACACCACTCTCATTTTCAGTGAAAGCTCAGACATTTAGCTCTTCAGGGGAACAATTATTGAGTTATGTTGACCATTGGGTTGACATTAGCCAGCCCTTTATTAAAGGTTAGTTTAATTGCTGTTAGTCGATATATAAATCCACCAGAATAAATGCAACAGAAAAAGGCCAAGTCTTATTTATACTTCTGTGTCAAATTGATGATGTAGGTTCAGCATAGCTTCGTACCCCACGTTATAGCCTACGCCATAGCCTAACATGCCCATGAAATCAGAAATGTAACTATACGTCGCAGTGACGCAGACCCCCTTGGTGTGTGTGTGCATTATTTGAGAATGGGAAGTGACTCATGCAACACTCAGATGAGTTAATACTGATGTTTGAGAATCCCTCCTCAAACACTAATTCACACACACGCACATTTTCAGATAAATGTGTCCTCACACACACAGACAGGCACACATGGAATGCTGCCTTCCTACGATTTGGCTGAGCTATTTGCTGAACAACGCAGACACACCAGTGCACAAATATAAATGCTCATAATGGCGTAGGTATGTTACGTAGGGTACGGCAAAGATCTGATGTAGAGCCAACGCACAAGTATAAATCAACATTTACTCTGAAGCACCTTAATTTGTAGTTGAAAAGCTTCAGTTTGATTATACCTAAATCTCCACCTGTTATTTTTAATTGTAAGCTAGTTAGCTGGCTGGCAAAACAGTGTTAATCTTAACATGCAACTACTAGCCTCCGTTAATGTGAGGCTCTATTTTCATACTGTAGTTAAGCTCAAGGACATTGGTAGATAGCTTATCTACTAGATACTCTGAGCATCTTACATTATCTAATGTTGAGACAGCCCTGGTGTACATTTAGAAATACAACTAGCTGTTCACAGATACTGTTGTTCCACAGCCGGCAAAGCTCCACTAGCACTACTTGATATCCCGGTCATACTGGAATTACATTGTAGTAACCCGTCTAAATGAATCATTCTCCCACTTCGTTCCTCAGTGCTGATGGACCAGTTTTAGTTCCTGAAGGTCCCGGCCACTCCCCCACCAGCCCATCCCCACAGCTGGAGGAGATGGAGCCACGCTTCCTGGAGTTTGAGCTGGACCCGCCCAACTGGAGGGAGCTGGCCTCCCCAGAAGCCCTGTCCAGTCTCTCCAAGAAGGAGATCAAGAAGCAGGAGGTCATCAATGGTGAGGAGAAGAGAGATGAACCAGCACATGATCAGAAGGAAACAGATGTGCAGATAAAATGAACTTGCTGCTTAGGCTATCCCTTTCTTATTCTGTGTTTTCTCCCTCTCCCCTCTCAGAGTTGTTTGCTACTGAGCATGCCCATGTGCGGATGCTAAGTGTCCTTCAGATGATCTTCTCCAAGCCTATGGAGAGAGAGGAGCTCCTGACTGCACCTGAGCTGGCTACCATCTTCCCCAGCCTGGATGAGATCATTGAAATGCACTGTGAGTCAGACATGAACTCTTTCCACACAACAAACCACCCATTATGCAGTAAATCTAAATCTAGGCAAACAGTGTGAAGCTTTTTGTTGTATATTTGTTGCCAGTGATAAAGGTGTACTGTGTACTAATGTGTCTAATGTGTCTGTTGTGTCAAGAATAATGCAGAAATCAAAAACAATAACTGTCACTTCTTTGTTGCTTTTGTGACTGTTATTTGGAGATTGCTACATAAACTGCTCACTATATTTTATACTAAGTGAATTGTTTATTTGTCTCTGTGAATCCAGATAACTTCTACGAGAACCTGAAGAAACTGCGTTTGGATGACAACTTCATAGTTAAATCCATCAGCACCACAGTCCTGAATAGAGTGAGTCACCATAGTCTTTTTTTCTCTTTGTATCATTCTGTTTCTTCTTCTGTCAGTATTTGTGTTTTTAGTGCTATTCATATTTGTGCTGACAAAAAAAAAGTCAGTAATTGTGCCAAAATCTGATTTTGTTGGTTTAAAAAAATGCTGACAGATACTTATCTATGAAAGTAAAAAAATGGCTGTAACATCTGCACCATTATATTGGTTGTCAGTCTTTACTCTGTACCTTTTCCAGCTCTGTATCCATCTGCTTATCTATTTATTGCTCTCATTCCTTTAATGCTGGCTAGCACAACCAGTGTCATGTATATGTGTGTGTGCGTCTTCCAGTTTGGGGGTACAGAGGGGGAGTGGTTCCAGAAATTGACAGCCCGGTTCTGCAGTCACCAGTCATGGGCCTTGGACCAGATCAAGAGCAGGCAGAAGAAAGAGCCACGCTTCAACTCCTTCATACTGGTACCATGAAAACACACACACACACACGACAAGACACACATGGATGAACTCACAGATGCATGGACATACAAGAAGTCAAATAAGTGGTCCCATACGTGCTCTCATTCTGACGGTTGTATGTGTTTTAATCCCAGGAGGCAGAGAGTAAGCCCCAGTGCCGCAGGCTGCAGCTCAAGGACATCATTCCCATAGAGATGCAGCGACTGACCAAATACCCGCTGCTGCTGGAGAATATTGCCAAGAACACAGGTGTGTGTGTGTGTGTGTGTGTGTGTGTGTCCGTGTCCCATGCCTGTTTGTGTCTCATTTTTGCGTGAAAGTGAGTAGAAGTCCTGGCAAACCTGTAAACATATTTATTAGACCTTATGTTTGTATTTATAACAGGTCACTTAATTATGCTAATTATTAAAATGTGAATGTGAAAAGGGGGGCAAAATTGTCAAAATCCTGTCCCGGTATGTTTAATTAAACATCACAATATTGATGTACTGTATGTTGTGATTAAAAAAAAAACAGTTTTGTAACTATTAGTAATTAGTAGTATTGTTAATGATTTGTTATGGCCACATTTTCGAGTTCAGTAAACAAAGATATGTATTTAAACAATACTGTTATATATTGTTTCATGGCATATATTGTCATTCGGCCCTATATTTCCTATGTTTCTGTTAAAAATACAATTATGGGATCATCCACTAATGACTCCATGTCTAGTATGTCAAGCTGATACATGGGCTTGTATTTTACATGTATAAATTATGAGTAAATGATTTCATGTCAAAATGGAGAAGATTATTATGGTAATGATTTAAACTGAAGTATATGTGCCAATCTATATCAGAACGCAGGATAAATGTGGACAATATTTGCACAACTAACTTAAGCATACTAGTAAAACCCTTAAACGATTTATACTCATGATTTATGGCTTTTGTTTGGGCTCTGCTGTGAAAGCTGTATTTTCCTCAACTCGGTTTTGTGTCCACAGACGATAAGACGGAGAAGGAAAGGATCCAGCAGAGCGCAGAGTGCTGCAGAAAGATCCTCAACCATGTCAATGAGGAGGTCAAAGTGATGGAGAACCTATTGGTGAGAAACACACAATCCATCACTCAACACACTGTTATGTAGTGATTGAGCACCAATTGGAGTAAATTCATTTTGAGGCCTCTGAAGGTCTCTGCTTGTTACTGCTTGTTACTGCTTGACTACTTCTACTTCAGAGCTGTGCTGTCTGTCCTCTGTCTGACCCCCTAACCTCTCTGTCTGTTCCCAGACTCTCAAGGAGTACCAGCGTAAATTGGACACATCAGGGCTCAAACCCAGTAATGAGCTTTATCTTGTATATAAGGTAAGGTTTCTTCCAACAAAATTTGTCTGCACACACTGTTGCACTTTGTGTAAGGTAAGAAATTTGAGTTCTTTGATGTTTTTGTTGCAAGAAAAGTTCTCACTATTCTCTCATTGTCTTTACTAGAACATCGACCTGACTCAGAAAAAGATGCTTTATGAAGGCCCTCTGACCTGGAAAGTGACAAAGGAAAAGGCAATTGGTAAATATATGCTTGTGTGTACATTACATGCAGTGCAAACTACCTGTGATGAGAACATTTTAGACATTTAAACATTTGCTGAACCATTTTTGAGCTGTTATTCATTTAAATTAACTTATTTATAAGGCCAGTCATGCCAAACTCACATTAATATTTATTAGATTTATTCGATAACATACACTTAGATTGCCTTTTATCTGTTTACAAAAGGAAGATTTATTTTGGGGTATTGAGAAAAGTTTCTGTTCTCATTTCCCTTTTTCAAATTTGTAGATAAGGTTTACTATAAAAAGGAACCCAGCTGCAGTTCAGGTGTTTGTTTTTTTTGAGTACTCATTTGCCTTTTGACTATCCAGTTCAATGCCATAACCTCAATTCAGTTCAATTCAACTTTATTTATTCCTATATGGGCAACTGTATGCAGCAGAATAAAGAAAAACTACAGTCAAGGCCATGAGCTTTAGAAACTATTTAGAACTAACAATCTAAAGTAATGAAGCCATATGCATAAAAAAAATCTATAAGGAATTGGGAAAACAGATTGCATCCTTGGCCATATTTTCTGCATCACTGTCCTACTCCTTCTTCTCCCTGTCTATCAGAGGTGCAGTGTGTGTTGCTTGGAGACCTGCTGGTGCTCCTCCAGAGGCAAGATGACAAGATGGTCCTCAAATGCCAGAGCAAGAGTAACATCGCCGTGCAGGAGGGCAAGCAGATGCTGAGCCCCATTATCAAGCTGGACTCAGTCTTCCTGCGGGAGGTGGCCACAGGTCAGCAGCACACAGTCGTTTCACAGACAAATACGGCCGCTTCCATTGCAAGATCAGCCTTATTCAACCTTTTCTTTTCTGTCAGATCGAAAGGCCTTCTATGTGATATTTACCTGGGACAGCGGAGCTCAGATCTATGAACTGGTAGCTCAGTCTGTCGGAGAGAGGAAAATGTAAGTGTCAGAGAGGAATAAACAGATTAATCATATTGGTTAGGTAGGTAAAACATAGGATGAATTGTAATTTGATTTGTGCCTGTGTTTACAGCTGGACTGATGTGATAAAAACAGCAGTGGATGATCTGAAGAAGAGTGGAGCACCCATGAAGTTGACACTGCCTCCTGGAGCTGGAGGAGCTCCCTTTAGTCCCTCCGCGTATGTGTGCGTGCACATGTGTGTGTGTGTGTGTGTGTGCATGTGCTTACTCATCTGGTGAAAGAGCAAGATATATTCATCGCCTGCCAAAGTTCACCCATCTCAAAATATCTCATTTCTTTTGTCATTTTCTCTCCGTCAGACTGACTGCCCCTTTGAGCCCGACTGAGAACGGAGCTCTGAAAAGCAGCAGCGGTGAGATCGCAGTGTTTTATCAGTTGAACACTTAATAAATAGTACAAATTTGTTATTGTTGCACATTTCTGAAAGCTGGAACCAATGTTAAGCCTTGTGTCTGTCCGTAGACCGAGATAAGGACAGCTTGACAGATGACAAGTCTTCAGACCACAGGTACAGGCTGATTGATTTCCTGTCAGAAAAAGGCTTCGACTTGATAGGCCACTCCAACAGCGATCAGGAGAAGGTAGCCAACAGTGCTTTGGATGAAGGTAAATTAGGGTCTTCCTTGCACTTTGATAGACATTTTTTTATACAATTCCCTTTCTTTCATAGTAGCTTGCCTGTCTTTCTAATGAAACCTCCGAATGTGTGTCCTGTGTTAGTCATGTCGCTGAAAAGGCTGTTGGTCGGCAGCATCAGTCTATCAGAAGACTCACAGCCTGATGAAGAAAATGGAGAGGAACAATCAGAGAGGCCCAGTCAACAAATGGATAGCTGTCATTTGACAGGTAGGCGTTTGTGTTGTTTAAAGAGGTAAATGAGAAGATGGATACCGTGTCTCCTCTCATGTCTGTAAGCTAAATATGAAGCTAGAAGAAGAAGTAGTCCACCATAAACCTTAGATAAAACAAACAATATACAAAGTGTTCATTAGTGACCTTCAAAGGTGCTGGTAGGCACTTTGGATGGAGCCAGGTTAGCTGTTTCTGCCTGTTTCCAGTCTTTATGCTGAGCTAAGTGTCTCTTAGCTGTAGCTTCATATTTAACAGAGAT